TTTAAGAAGAAACCTTTGAAGCGTGCTTTTATATATTTCGTAAAACTGGGAAGCTTTTTGGCGTTCCCTCGCTCTACAAGCCCGCTCGCTCCCTCCTATAAAATTTTGACTATGGAAATCCGGAGGATTTCCCTTCGACTAGGTTCGATCCTCAAGCAAAATGGCTCGGGGCTCAAGAACTTCGTCGGATCAACTCTCCGAGTGATTTCTAGGGCTCCCTTGGTCAATCAGTGTCTTGTAGACCTCCCAATTAGCTACCTCCACGGTGATGACCATGGGGTCATCCTGGTTGGGGCTGACGCCAGCGTAGTCGTCGTCGGTGAAGGTGATCGGCGGTGAGCTTTGGTGTGAAGCTGAGGTAGTGGAGTGGACACTGTTGATATTGTGCAGGTGTCTCTTATGGGCCGAGCTGCTGGCGCCTCCCCCTGCAAAACCACCTGCAATTGTGTTGATTACTCCCCGTAGGGGAGCTGACCCTGTTTCCTAGCTTACCTCGGCTTGCACTGCTCCACCGGCATATTGCTGAGATCTAGAGGGTTGGTCCGTGCGAGCTCCCGAACCACGGCCTCTGCCTTGTCCTCGTCCACCATAGCCTCCTCGGTGACCCTGTTGTCATTGGACATATTGGCCGAAGTGGCCTGCCTAGATGAGTTCCTCAATACGGTCTCAGAGTGTGCGACACTCTTTAGTGGTGTGACCGTGGTTTTTGTGATACCGACAGTGTTTGGACTTGTCCGCACTGTTGGGAGTGTGACCTGGTGGTGGCAGGGTGAGTAGGTTGTTGTTATTGGCCTCCTCCAGGATGTGAACTCTAGGCGTGTTCAGGGGAGTGTAGAAGTCGTATCTCCCCCCCTTGCCTGTCCTAGCAGTTTTCTTGAACTGGCTGTCATTGGTGACCTTCATCTTGTCTTTGTGGCCACTGTCAGGCTTTGCTTGTGATTTCCCACTAACCAGGTCACGAAAGGCGGAGTGTTCCTCCATTTGGATGTACCCAGCAGCACGGGCGTGGAGCTCGTCCAAGTCGCGAGGAGCTTCACCGCATAGGCTGTTGATAAACAGTCAAGGCTTGAGTGCGATGAGCATGGCATGCAGGGCGACTTCCAGGTTTAGATTCTGGATTTTAATCGAGATGTTGGCGAAACGCTCCATGAATGCTCTCAGTGACTCATCATCGTCCTGGCGGAGGCTAGCCAAGGCGGCCGATGTGACATGGTGGGGTCAACTGGTGGCATACTGGGCAGTGAACTGCCTCACCAGAGTGTGGAAGTTGTCGATGGACTCGACCGACAATTGGGTGTACCAATTGAGTGCGGCCCCTTTGAGCGAGGTTGGAAAAACCCTACACATAATAGCATCGTTATTGGTGTAGAGGTTTACCTGTGTGGTGTACAGGTCGATGTCCTCGTCTGGGTCCATCGTGTCGTCGTAGCAATCGAGGTGGAGAGGCTTCCATCCGAGAGGGAGTGACGTCTCCATAATGCCATCCACAAAAGGATGACGGCGGAAAGTTGCTTGATCCCCTCTGACATGAGTATGAGCATTACTGACCTCATGGGCCGACTTGTTCATCGGTGCATAAGACCGATGCGTGGCAGGTCGTGGAGTCGGTGCCCTAGGTGCAGTTCGGGGTTGAGAGACCGAATGCCCCTCTTCCTCGTGCAGGTTGCTCGCCTAAGGAGGATGATCAAAAGGGCGTCGAGGGAGTTGGGTGCGAATCTGCTAGTTCTCAGCTCGTAGCGCCGCTAGGTCAGCCTCATTAGCGGTCTGCATCGCTGCTAGGTCAGTTTCGTGCTTGGCACGCATGTTTTGCAGATCGACGTCGTGTTGTTGCCGCATCTGCTCGACCTGTTCGATCAGCCTTCTCAATGCCGCTTCGTTGTCCATACTTGTCCTACGATCTGCGTCGTCTGTTGCGCGTCTACTATGACTTCGGGTGAATACCATAAGCGTGAATAAAAATACAATCTTGTCACTGCGCCGCCCACGCGTTATAGGAACGAGGTGACGGTTATGACATATGGCGTCATGACAAATAGGCGTACGCGAAAAGTCACGACCCCTTGTCGAGCTCGGTCTTAACTCCTCGACCTACGGTCTTCAGAGCTCGGGGGGCTAGTGTCCTATCCGTACTGCTATGTCGAGCTCGAGCTCGGCATCACAGCGCGGAGTGACCTCGGACACGCGCTAGGCAACATCTGCTCGCTATCCAAATAGATCATAACTAATCTCAGGAGATCTCGGTCTAGACGAGATCCGCTATCCAATCATATCATATCTTATCTAAGGCCCAAGGCCCAACGCAACCCTGACTCACACTAAGGTACGTGCATTACTTATACGAGACTCATACTCATACAAACCATAACTTTAGCATTGGAGTCTCTTTTGCAGGTACCACCCCCATCTTGGAGCATCAAGCGTACCAGCGAGGAAGGTTCACCAATCTTACTCGGAGGATCATCTCTACAGCAGATTTCCGGCCAGAACATATGTTAAATAAAAAAAATATTTATATACTTGAAATTTTTTATCTAAATTTATTTTTAAATTACGAAAAATTACTAATTAATATTTTATTATGTCTTTAAGATTTTCTATATTAATATTAAGATACCATTTTTTTTATATTGATTAATGCTCGTTGTAACACTATTTAAAATTAATATAAAAATTTTCCTGTCAAACAATAATATAATTTTAAATTATTTTCGAGGGATATTTACATAACAAATATTTTTACATGAATATTAGTTAAACTGTCTTATCCGTGAAATTTTGTTTACGTGTATTTTGTGAAATAAATAATAGTGTAATATTTTGTTTATATTTATTTAAAATTTTCCA